AAAAATTCAAAATTTTCAAAAAAGTATCAGGGGAGCATGAGAATCAAGGGGGTATTCACTGAAATTTGAAAATTCAAAATTTTTGAAAAAGTATTAGGAGAACATGAAAATCGAGGAGGTATTCGCTGAAATGTGAAAATTCGAAATTTTTGAAAAAATATCAGAAGAGCACGGAAAACGAGCAGGTATTGACCGAAATTTAAAAATTCGAAATTTTTCAAAAAGTATCAGGGGAGCATGAAAAGCGAGGAGGTATTCACTGAAATTGAAAAATTCAAAATTTTCAGAAAATAAAATTCACCCACTCGATCGATCCCTCTAACAGCGGGACAGCTACTGAGGCAGTTACCGAGTCAGCTGACGGGCAGACACCCCACCATAGGGTGCGGCCCCCTCTTTCTCTCGGGGTGAGGTACTCCCCCAGAACTGAGCCACTCAGTGGGGGTTTGAGTGACCCCACCGGCATTGTACCCCACCTCACCCCAAGAGAAAGAGGGGGCCGCACCCAATGGTGGGGTGTCTACCCGTCAGTAGTACTGAGGCACTTACCGAGTCGGCTGACGGGTAGACTCTCCAGTATGGTGTGTGGCGCCCTCCCTCTCTTGGGGTGCAGTACTACGATGCCGCTGGGGTCACTCAAACCCCCAGAACTGAGCCTCTACTTTACTCAATCTTCTTTGGTTTTTCAAATAAATAAGAATATTTTCAAATTGTTTGGTGTCGCGGTTAAAGGCCGCATCATTAAATACGGCGAAAAAAAATGAATCGAGTGAGTGTTTAGTTTTCGAGGAATAATCACAGATTAATTCTTAGATAAGTAGATTTATAATTGCAGTCCAAAATTTCAATTAGTTATTTTAAATAAATTCAATTCAATATTCAGCACTATTCATTCCTTTCATTCGTTAGTTTAACAACAATTGTTTTTTTTTTATTTACTATATATTTTTCTCTCTCGTTAATTTGTATTAATTTTTTTTAGCACAATCAATCAATTTTTTGGAATTCTATAAACAAAAAAGGAAGTTGCATCGGTGGGTTGAAATTTGTGACTCGAAGTTTTCCGAATTATTCAGATTTTATATAAAAAATAGTTTTTAAAATGATTTTAAATTAATCAATTTTTCAAATTCGACATGAACACATTGAGTTAGAGATTATTTCAAGAGTGAGTAATTTTTTGTGGAAATGTGGAACAGTATTCTCAGTAATTCGTGACATTTCTTACTAGGCAGTGATTGACGATAAAATTATCGGGTTTTTTCTTCGAAAATTTTGACGTTTGAGTTTTACGTCGTGTTTATCAACGATTTTTTAAACTGATAGTGATTTCAAGTCACTCATGAAATGAATCAGAAAGTGAGACATTAATTCTGTTGCGAAGTGATAAACTAGGAAAAGTGCTTCTGAGAATTTTGTTCAAGGTCAATTTTTAGTCGATATCATCAAATTTAAGAAAGATGACGATTTTTTTTATAGATACGAGAACGAACGCGCACTACAGCGCGCTGTAATTATAAAAATCGTGATTAAAAATTGTTAATTTAAATGAGTTCCAAATTCAAATTATCCGCCTCAGATGACTGAACCAATGAGGAATAAGCGTGATAAAGTTTCGAGATATTGATAGTCTCGTGTTTATCCTTTTTAGGATAGGAATAAAAATTGTTAATTTAAATGAGTTCCAAATTCAAATTAGCCGCCTCAGATGACTGAACCAATGGGGAATAAGCGTGACAGAGTTTCGAGCTATCGATAGTCTCGATGTTTGTCCTTTTTAGAATAGGATAAAAATTGTTAATTTAAATGAGTTCCAAATTCAAATTAGCCGCCTCAGATGACTGAACCAATGAGGAATAAGCGTGACAGAGTTTCGAGCTATCGATAGTCTCGATGTTTGTCCTTTTTAGAACAGGACCTTTTTTGTAGCTCTTATCTTTTTCTAAAGAAAATATTTTTTCCGAAATTTGGCTATACTCCTTTAATTCCGAGATTTCGGCTGGAAACGAATTTAGGAGAGAGTACCTCAAACTGATTTAATTTTTTTATGATCTTGAAAATAATGGATTCAGAGAAATAAATCCATTTCATCTCTACGATCCGCCAGGAAATATAATATTTACTATTTTTTCTTGGAATTGATATGTGAAAATGCTATACTAAAATATTAACCGGTAAAATTGAATTAAAAAATGAATTCTACTCGCGTTTCTTCAATTTACGGAATTATAGAATTATTCATTATTGCACAATGATGATGCTGATTCCACAGGAAAAATTATAGAAAATAAATATCAATTCTGAGAGAAAATAACAAAATAATTGTAATTCCAATTCCAAGGATTCGAACACAGATAATGCGGTATCGAAATAATTTTTCGCGCCCAATTAATTTTTTGTCATTATTATTGAAGGCTGATCATGCTGATAAATTAAAATCAGAAGTTGCAGGGGAGAAGATGTCGAGATAAATTACTGCTAATAATTATTTTCCGAAATGTAAGAATTTCTCTAAAATTGTTTTTTCCAATATCCAGAAGACGATTTATTTTATTACTATTTATAACAATTTGAAATAAAACCCAAAGCTCTAAATTTTCCATCTCTCCATAGAGGAATATTTCCCCCCAATTTTCCCTTTTCCAAAAGAATTATAATCTCAATAAATAAATCAATAAATAATTCAATAAGTAATTCAATACATTCGGCGTGCATTATCATTAAATTCATCAGAAATCGATATTTTGATTTAATTCATTAGTAAAATATCTATTCTGCCATGAGTTTTTTTCGAATCTCTTCTCCCAACTTCCAACTTTCTAATCGACTGCTTTCTCGATTTTCTATTCCACAGCACAAATTTTAAGAACAAAAAACCCAACAACCACAACAAACCAAAAAAAATCCAAACCCAAAATCCTCCATAAATGGGTATTCCCTTAATCTCCTTAATCTTTCCTTTACCGAAAGATTAAGTATGGCCTCTAGAAATAGATATTTTCATTTTCCTCATTGACAAAATATCTGCTCTGACATCACACGTTTGGTTTTTCCAGGAGACTTGTAAATATGTGCGAGCATCAGAGATACTGAGGGGTTGATGATCATCATAACAAACGACACATCATTGAAGAATTTTCTTCTATACACACGAGTATTACGAATGTATACAATAATCCAAGTGCTCCACATATGTGTTATTTTCCAGCGATAACGCAGATGTGACCCATAATGACCTATTGATACTGATATGGAATGATTCGTTCTCCCTCTCTATATAAACGCAGTTCCTTCAAGGCGGGGGAATTTGGTCATAAAATAATTGTAGCACATGTACTTGGGTGAACCATTAAGAGACCATGGACGAGACAGATTAGTTGATTTGCGTCTTGGAGGCTTAACTAAACTGTTATTCATATTTTCTCATCACTCGTCGTTGGTCTATTTTGAAACACCCACCGTCCATTTTTCTCATTTTCCACAACGTATGTTAAACGTAAGTACTTATATGGATTTTTTATTAGTATAATTTGTTGGTTTAATACTCGCGGGAGATTTATTTCTGTATTCATTTTTTGATTAATCGAGTATCAAAGGATTTCGAGGCATTAGTTGATTCAATGATTTTTTGGAAAATTTAATTGACTGCGGAAAATGTTAATATTGGAAGAGAATTTTTATTGTAATTATTGTTAATCTTTAGAGACAGCTGTGAAGTAATCTGGATATTTTTTATTTAATTAGTTGTGAGCTGGAGATGAAATTATTAAATTGAAAAGTTTCAGTTTAAAAGATCTCAATTAATTCGAGAAATTAAATCATCGCTGAAAAATGTATAACAACTTTTACTGTTTCCAATAATTATTCATGAACAAATACGTGAAATTAAAATCAATTAAAAACAGATCTAGCACGTATTGTTTATAATTGTAATTTCGGATTATGTGGATTTGATTGGTTGATAAATAATTGATTCCTCGGGACTATTGAGAGAATTAGTCTTGACGTAACGTATGTTGAGGAATCGTGGAATTCGAAGTTAAAAGTATTTTTTGAATGAATTGGCCTTGATTGGCATTTAGTAAATTACAGAGGTCTTGAAATATTTATTAAACAGAATCATTTGTTAATGTTTGAGTCATAGTACTGCAAGAAAATCAGTTTTCTTGAGAATTCCAGTGGTATTTACTCCATAACTTGTTCTTTCCATTTGCTTAACAAAAAACGATTTTTAACGTTTTTTTAATAATTTTATATTTTATTTATATGCACACCCTCTGAGGCCTTGACGTTTTGTTCCTTTCCGTATGATTGTACCCGAAAAAGAAAGTATGTCTATAATTATACTTCTGGAAAATTACAGCGGAAAATTCAAGTAAAAAACAATTATTTATTGATTAATCATTTAATTTCTTGCGAAACCGTGAAAATGGGGAAAATTCGCGCAATAATTTCCATGAAATTTAAAGTTTCTTTAAAAAATCAATTATTATTTAATATGAAAGCCCCGATTTTCTTAGAATAATTAAAAATTCATATGAATTTCCGGAAATTTCTGACGATATAACGAACAATGGGATTAATAGATTAAGAAAAATATTATGAGCGTACATTATTTCAATAACAATCGGTAGAACTGCCACACAATTCCGGAGGTACAAGCTTTAATGAAAAAAGTGTATGTTCAGGTGCTCGATAATAGTATTACATCATTTACATCATACAATTTACATAAAGTCGAATGTAAACGACCGAAACATGAAGAATCAGACGAAAAAACCGTTTTCTTGGGGACCAAATTCGATCTTTTTTTTGTATTAAGGGCCGGGTGGACTATCTATCGAGCGTCATCTTTTATTTAAGGCCCGGGTGGACTACCTATAGAACGTCATCTTTTGTTTAAATTTTATCTTTCTAGCCTAAAATACATAAAAATTTGGGATAAGTTTTGAG